TTCAAACATCATCTATACATCATATAGAAGCCATCCATACCCCTGTTTCATCACTGTAACACCTTTACCATCATTGCCCAAACCTCACTTTACACCTCTGCAACTTGACTTGTCAAGAATAATTGAGATACTCTCAATCCAAGGCAGACATTGCAAAAGCTTCCTGGTTGTTCAGTGAAGCTATCCATATCATCCTAACATCTCCAGAAGTGCTCTAACTTCAAACTCGATTCTCACTTCTAAGGTAAGTTTTATAAACTTTGAAATCTTTGTACAAGCATCATTTGCATTTATTTTCTAAAGCCAAAATATAGATATCAATGCCCTGGAACTAACCATGTCCTTAGTTTTCATTTATGTTGACTGTGTGATGAGAATTTTGGATTTGAAGTTTCTGAGATATTAGGGTTCAGTTTGGTACCAAGAAAAATTTATCCTAACCATTGATCTATAGATTTTGAAATTTATATGGTTGGATTCATGGTTAAATTTCAAGCAAGTTTGATGTTTACATTTTTTAATTTGGTTAAGAAATTAAGATTTTGCAAAATTTAAAATTGTTGTTGTTGTTACTGTAAACGCGCGCGAGGAAGAAGATGGAGTCCATTTTTGAAAACTTGTTCATTTTATATTTAATGATTGTTGTTTTACAGCCGGATGTAACAACCATCCCAGTGGCAGCGTGCGTGTGTTTAAGTCATACCTATGTATGGTCCTGGATTCGAGCCAGGAGTAGGGCATTTTATTTTTCTAACATTTTCATTATAGATTCAGTGCTAGCAGGCATACGCGCTAATCATGCAACCTCATATCAACACCATCAGATCATCAGCAATCAGATCCAATGCATCCAACCGCAAGCCTATGGTACATCCCAAAGAGCCATCCCCATTGAATCATACAGCGTCTGGGCTCCTCTATTTGGGCCTAACATTTTTTTCTTTTCTCACCCCCAATTGCTTTATTTCACTCAAGCCCATTTTATTTTCTTTATTTTGTTTTAATTAATTATTTCTCTTAATCTTTTATTTATTTATTTAATCACAAAAATTATAAAAATGATTAAAAAAATTAGATTTAGGTTTTTAATTAATTTATTTATTTTTTTACAAATAAAAATTAATTTAATTACTTTAATTTTATTTTATTAAAATTAAGTGTTATACTTCAAATATCTTTTCTAAATAAAACCCCAAAAATATTTTCTAATTACTTAGAGTTCTTTAGATTTTATTTCATAAATAAGACTAATTAATCTAATCACACTTTATTTTATTTTGAATAAATAAATTGTAAATTAATGAGAATTAGGTCTAATTTTTATTTCAAATATTCTTCTAAATAAAAACAATAAATTATTTTCTTTAAAACTTAGAAAGATGTTTAGGGTTTCTTAAAAAAACATCTTTCCTCTTTTCACCACCTTCGTGTACTTTATTAACGCATTAGTATTTGACAATATTGTAATTGCTCAAAGAATGTAATAGATAAATTAGGTTTTTCTTTACCTTTTCAACCCCATTCATAAATTTGTACCCCCATCCCTAAAACATTGTAATAGCGTAGGACATTTAATTTTCAAAATTTACTGCTTTCCTTATTACTATTGGTAATTAGGGTTTGTATGGCAAGATAAAGAACAAAGAATAGATAACATAATCTCCAAGATAAATACTTGAAATCAAAACACTTCACACACACGCACCTCTAGGGTAACCTCACGTGTTTCCCCGGATAAAAACAGTCATGTCCCTCGAACGTGAGATGCTTTAGCAAAGACCTTCAGTTAAAAGATCGTAGTCCCTCGATGACCCTTCAATGTTGACTCCAGTAAACGATCTTAGTCCCTTACGACAATTGCTAAAGCGTCTTACAAGTTGCCTTCTATGATTGTACGATAACCCACGCTTGTCTCTCACATCCAATGATATGGCTTCCTACTAACTAATGGTAGGATAGCACTATCTAAAGGAGGAGGAAAAGAACAAAGACTTTTCGAGTAGGTAGATCGCTCGCAATCGCTTTCTCACAAACCAAAACAATTTTTACACCTCACACCTTCAAAACAACTACTTTCAAAATACTTCATAAACACTCTTGAGGACTGATACAAGAGTTATTATAAAGCAAATTGCCTTACATTGGCATTTTCAAAATATTTTCACAAAATAAACATTCTCTTCTAATAAATATTTTCAAAACAAACATTTTGTATGCATTCTCAATGATACGAGAATCATTACAAAATTACCGCACTTAGGCGTCTTCAAAATATTTTCAAACATACACAAACACAAAGCATTTCAAAAAGTGAGATAGCAATTAAGAGCCCGTAGATAACTAGAGATGAAAAGAGTTCTAATGCCTTCCCTTTTCATAACCTACCCCTCGAACTAAAGAAAAATTCTCAAAGATATTTCCTATTCTTTTCACTCTTTCCTTTATTGGATAAAAGAAAAGTCGGTGGTGACTCTTGATATCCGCAACATTTTTTTTGCGATAAAATGCAAAACCAAAAGTCAGTTCTCCCACTGTATTACAGTTGGCATTCGATGCAAGAGAAGTCATCTGGTCGACCCCCACACTGAGCGATTCATAAAGCGACCCCAGGATGAGTCCGCTCAAGCAAGTGTTTCGATCCATATGAAGGTGATGTGCCAAAGCAATAAAATGTTTGGCCATCTTCAGAGACCTGTTTTAGAAAATATACTTAGAGGGCCACAAGGCCGGAAAGGCGATGTGCTCTTCATCAGACACCGTGTTGACATCCTTAGTGTGAAAATGCTCCATATACTGGGTGAAACCAGCAACTTCCTTATCAAAAGGAATAACGTCTTCATCAACTTTAGTAGGGATGAAAGTTTCACCTATAGGGAGAAGGCCAATGATAGCCGCAACGTCGAACATAGTGGGAGTCAGCATACAAGTCGCAAAATGGAAAGTGTTCGTGCAACTCTCCCAGAATTAGAGGGAATAAATCATCATATAGTTGCAATAACTAGGTTCAAAAATGCCTTGGGATATCCAAACATCACCTTTAACTTTCTCTACCTTACTTAACTGTGCATTGTAATCCTAATTGATAGCAGGAGCGGAGCGAAAAACTTTTGAGGTCCTATAGATATGGGAGAAATCTAAAGGACACTTTCGGGCGATGGGGGCCTTGTGCTTCTATGAATAGGGAAGCATTTTTCAGATCTTTTGGTGCTCTAATCTCATCAGGGGTAGGTTCCATGAGAGCATACATGGTTTTGTTGCAGATAAATGGAAGTAATAGGTTAGAACGGAAAGTAACAATGTTGTATGTTGAGTTTGACTCCAACACAAAAGTTTTCCCATTAACAGCAAGGAAATCAGGCATGGTGGAAACTAGCTTAACTATGTGAGGAGTGTTAATGTGTTCAACAAATTGGCTTAGAGACGCCATGAAAGATGAATGGAAGCTTTGAATGAAAACGGAGGTGGGGTTTTTGTTTGTTGAGTTTGGAAGCTAGGAGATTAAGGATGCAAAGAAAGCGTAAAGAGAAAATATAAAAAAATGAAAGGGGTATTTATACCACCAAAGAAACCAAACGTTTGGAAAGAAAGTGGGAAAATTTGTGGCTACATGACCGACACATGTCAAACAGATGGCAACTGAGGTGAGGAAGTTAGTAAGTTAGAGGCCATTATTATCCTAGGAAATTGAAGCTAGAAAGTAGAGAAGTGGTTGTGTGATCACTGATGTAACGTTTGAAGAACAAGGTCACGATTACAATGATGTCACTTCACACTAAGAGAAAAGGATTAAAATGTTTGTTTCTGTTCTTTCAGTCGAAAACGAAATTTTGGGGGGCAATTTGTTGGTTAGGATTTTCATAAAGAGAGAAATCCAAACTAAAAGTTACAAAGGTTCTTTTAAGAGCATTAAATTATGAGGAGTCGACTACATAAGCATGTCGACTATGGATGATCTCACAGGTAGTCGACCAAGGTTTCGTAAGTGCAGTCAATCAAAGAAGGGTTCATGGTGAATGGATTGGGCCCAAGAGAGGTAAGAAGTCCAAAAGAGTTAAAAGGCCCATAAGCGCCTAAACTGCAAAGGCGAAGCGTTATGGAGGGAAAATGTGGGTTTGATATCAGGAGTGATGAACGTGGGATCATGGAGGGAAGTTATGAAGAACACGTGGCATGCAAGAAAACAAAGCCCACGTAAAAAGTAGTTATTTCTGTGTGTTATAAATAAAGCACTTAGTGCACTTTGTAAAGGGTCAAACTTTCACATTCTTGTACGCTAGTCATTCAGAGTAACCAAGCGAACGAGCGAAATGAGTCAGGCAAAAACAATGTATGTTTGAACCAACCTATTTTCAACCTTTCTTTAATATTATGTCATTACCTTTTACAATTTAAAATGCCTTTTGTCTTATTTACTTTGTCTTTTATCAAACCGTTTGACTCTCAGTCGAACGAACCTCTTTGAAAACACTTTAACTACGCACACGAACTGAAGCACTGTACTGAGATTTCCTAGTCGATCCGCCAATAAACTTATTTTAAAGAGACCAATGTTATTTATCAAATCCAGAAGTAAACAAATATCAACTTGAATATTACCTGATAAAGGAAATTAAGACCCCCTACCAACTATATTAATATTTTGTCATTTGCTTGAGTTTTCAATCCTCAACCAGTTAACCACCTGTTATTAGATGTTGAGCCCGTTTGCTAGGCGTTATAAGTGGATAATGTTAAGATAATTTTAGCAAGTAGTTATATATCATTTCAAGAGAATGAATAAACAAGAATGGCATTCAAATGCACAATGCATTAATCAATTGCTGATCCAAAATCCTGTAATGTTAGTGGCCACATGAAATGGTCACTACTAGAAACCATAATGCTTCTCCAAATAAAAAAATTTAATCTCTGAAGTTAACTCAAAATTTATGGTAGGAAATGAAATTAACTAAAACAGTTATTTGAACTGGATTTGATCTCGTGCTCAAGCCGCAAAAACTTCACGCTAACAATTCTTTAATAATCTCCGACATTGCTGAGTATGATCCAAGCGCAGATGATACAAGGCCTGCTACAATCACTGCAACACAAAGTGCTACCTGGAGAAATATGAAAAGAAAAAACAAAAAGATACATGAAATTATCATCTCAGAAACTCCAATGGTGCAATACAGAAACTTATTCAAGAAGTTATTTAATGTAGAAAGTAAATTACCTGAGAACGCGTGACTCTGCCACGCTTGATGCTTAGGAAACAAGCAGACGGTAGAATAAGAGACTGCATCCGAAGTTGAATGTAATTTAATGAACTAAATGTTACATAATGCTAGTAACTAATGCGAGAAAAATATGAAATGAAGGAAACTTACAACAAACATTGTGAGCATAGACCCAATTAATGACATTACCAAACCTGCAACAATGTTGAAATTTGCTTCAACGAATTTACTTGAGTACCTTATCTGTTAAATTTACGTACATAGTTTCAGAACAGTAGAAAAACTAACCGAAAAAGGGAACCGAAAGACCAACAAGCAGTGTAGAAACGACTAGCGCCGTTCTGATGAGGATGGAGTAGAACTGAAAGTGGGGATTATTTGGTGGTATCAATTCCTCCACAGACATTGCTACTGGAGTTAGACTCAAAGCATATGTGCTGCTAATTAAGAAACAACATCTATGTACGCGGAAAGATATACAAAACGAATCCATAAATCTCTACGATAAAGTCAATAGATCTAGAGATATGATTGAAATGCAAGAGAAAATGAATGGAAACATGATTTTAAATAGCGCTCATAAAGGATATTTGGTAAATGGATTAACCACCTGCATAGTAAAACACATGAAAAATAAAGTTAGCGATTTCTCTAGAGACAGTTTTCTCTCGCGCCTGCGGTATAGCACAATGTAGAACGAGCGTAGTAACATACCGTAGTCCAGAGAGCGATTTTGGAGGCAGCCAATTCCCGGGGCATGTTAAGAGTGTACTGAGAGAGTGTAGTTTCTCCAAACATTGAGTATCCCATAATAGCTACTGTGAAATACATTGTTGTACAAATAGCAAAACTACATGGAAAAATAAATCATATTAGATAGATTACTTAGACGATTTATATCGTCATACTAAGCGATTGATTTCGGTTACCATATCAAGAGCACTGCGGGGAATTGATTTCGATTTGCCATAGCTGTGTATATGTTGGGGAAGACAGCATGTCCAGCGAAGCAGTAACCATAGAGTCCAATAGCAACAGGAAATGTTGAAATATTAAGTGGTGTTGTTCCTTTTGTATGCATAGGAAGATCGTCTACCACGCCAACCCATAACAAGCATAGAACCACAACAATCGTTGCAATAACTCCACAAGCTAGTACAATATAAACAACAACTCAGTGTTAGAATCATAGAAGACGAACTTGCCAAACAGAACTATAAAAATAAAAAAATATATAATCGTTACCTGATAGGTAACTTAGAATGCGAAGGTCCCGGAGCCAAACAGTAGGAAGAATAGCTAATGTGGTGAATATTGCAAATAGAATGTGTGCATTCAATTCAAATCCACCCAAACTCAAGTGTGCATTTGGAAATAAGGAAGATAAGTTGTCGCTTTCTAGAATTATATATTCAATGCAACAAGCCTGCATGTAAAAGTACAACATACAATACAAAAGTGTTAAATCCGAATAGATACTCTCTTAATTAACAATTAGATACAGAAATACAGAAAAGAAATCTGTACTTACATATAATTCCATGTATAATATTATCTGCGTAACACACGGAAAAACGAAAAAATATAAAGGAAGTTAAGAGATAAGATAGAATGATTTTAAATGAAGTTGATGGAAAATAATAGTATCATGCAAAAGAGACATACCGAAATGATAACACGTCCAGTGGTACCAAAAGCTGCTTGGCCAATGTCAGGGTATGTCTCTAGTCCAGGTTCACTATCCAAGCAATAGCGCAACAGCAAGCCGGTATAGAAGGAGAATATTGAAAATATGAGCAAAATTGAAAGTGCAGTCCATCCACCTTGTTTAAGAGCATAAGGGACTGAAAGGAGTCCAACACCACAGAGGGCATTTATGCCTGCGAAACCCGAAACATTAATACACTATTTTGGCCTACTTCAGATTAAGGACGTGTTCCATGTTAGATATTCAATCATTTTCATTTTATTTTTAATATATGTTACTAGTACTTACCATTAAGCACAGCTTGTCCAAAAGAGCATTGGCTAGGAATATGAACTTCATGAGAAATCTTTGAAGCATCCTTCCGCATGGAAGACTTCCTAGACGGGTGAGGAGGAAGCAATGTCTTAGAGCTCTTTTGCTGTTGTTCATCTATTGGTTGTATCAGAGGCTTTTTCAGTGGAGGTAAAAATTCAGCCGTGTGCCTCCTAGTCAAGGATGAACCAAGAAAAGAACTGCCTAATCCTGTGAGCGATGAAGTCCCGAGAAATCCTATATTCGGTGATGGCACACTCCCATACAGATCAATGGATTGCCTGAGATTCAAATCACATCATGAGAACAATGATTTCACATTTAATTTGAACAGAAATAACCTATGAAACACGGACACAGACACTCACATAAATAGTAATTTAAAAAAATGAATAAATTAAATGTAATCACAAGTATCAGTATGGTGTCGGTGTCTCAGTAGTAACAGAGACATAGATACATTTTTTCTCAGATGAGATGAAGATGAAGTAACAGACCTGTAACTTTGAGGCCACGCCATGCTGTAAGAACTTGGTTTTCTCTGTACTTGATTGTCATTTGAGTCATCGGAATAATCGGATTCATTTCCATCCATTTCATTTCTTCCGAACTCCCTTTCTTCACCTTCTTCATCGCTCTCAATGAAAAATACTTGATCTGAAGCAGAGTTCTTCATCCTCTTTCAACTTTCAACCAATCACGCCCTGCAAAAATCCATAATATATTTTAATCATTCAAGTAATTCACTCACCTAACATTCCAGAATCATAAATCACAATAAAAAAAAAATGTTCAGAATTCAGATTTACATTTATGAAATCCAAATTTTCAAATAAAAATAAATAAAACAGAAGAACATTACAATTGAAAAGGATGAAAAAGTAGTAGAATTTTGGTCAATGCGACAGAAAAGAGTGTTGAGATGAATGAATGATCAGTAATAAAGTTGGATGTGTTCTGTCTTTGTCTTTGTTCCAACGGATAGTGTGATTGAAAATGAAAGAAAAAAATAACAGAACAAGAAAATAGAGAAAAAAGAACCTTGGTTGAATGTTTGTTTGTATATTGTTATGTCAGATGAGTGTCTCTGGCGCAATCACGGTGTTTGGTTTGATATGACTGAAAGTGAACGTTCACAAAAAAATAATATTGGGATTAGTTTACAGTTACACTTATTCATAAATTTAATTTTTATTTATTGTAATGATTAAAAATTATTATAATAATTAATATCCAAATCTTGCTAAGCAGTGCAATGAATTTACGTTGGATAGGTGTTATTTGCCACGTGATTTCAACGTGGAAATCATGTTCCTGCTCTCATACAAGACAAGGATGATTTTGTCGCAAAAGGTATTATTCTACTTATGATAACTCTTTCAGAAATACTCTTTATTTTCTAATTAGTTCTTATGAATATGGTAAATTAAATATATAGTCAAAATATTTAACAGAGAATAGAAGGGGGAATAAAATTTAATTTTTGCACGAATGTTTTATTTTATCTAGAAGGTATACGTTCTGTACAAAAAACAAAATTCTAGAATATATACGTAAAGTTTTGTCTTCATATTTATCATGTTCTCCACCATAACGTCTTCTTGGTTAAATGAAAATGACTTTTATATATAATACGTATACTCTTTAATTTAATGAGATATGTTTTCAAAACATAAAATTTTGAAAAAATAAAAGATACACCAACATTATAAAATAATTTTATTTTGTTAATTAATAACTATTTTATATTTTATCAAATTATTTTTATATTTCAAAATCATTTAAATGGCATAGTCGTTGATTTATTATTGAATGATAGTATAAAAGTTATTTTATACCGTCAATGTGTCTATTAATTTCATTTTTATATTTAAATCAAATAATATTTATTGTCGCACGATCAATCAACTAAAATATTTTTAAAATAATAATTTTATTTTTTATTTATTCGCATTAAAAATTTAATTATTAATATTTTTTACTTTCACAAACAATTTTGCTTTTTTATTTATTTGCATTAAAAAATTTAATTACTAATACTTTTGACTTTCACAAACAATTTTGCTATAAATATTAAGATTACTTTTTTGAATTATTATTATTATTATTATTATTATTATTATTATTATTATTATTATTATTATTATATTAATCTATCTTAATACAACTTATTAATATTTAAATGAGTAAAAAAGCCATATTTAATATTTATTTGAAATACATTCCCTTTTAATAAAGATATTATTATTATTACTATTATTATTATTATTATTACTATTATTATTATTATTATTATTATTATAGTTTATATAGTAAATTAAAAAATATTATTATCAACCAATATATATATATATATTTTACGATCAATTATTCAAATTAATTAAAAAAATAATTACTATAACTTATTAAATAGTTTTTATAATACAAATTTATCATTTCCGATGAAAAATAGTATGCTAATAAAGTAAATTTTTTTCTATTAAAGTTATATACTTTTTAAATTCTTGACTTCTAATTATTCAATTATTTTAATTTTGAATTCAAAATAAATATAGTATAAAATAATTTGTATTTCACAGATGTACATGGATGTAGAATTATAATATTGTTATGAATATATAGAATACTTAATAACGAAGGCAAGAGTTTTGTTTTACTAGTTTGAATTTCAAAATAAAATTTGAAGGAGATTAATTAAAAACATATAAAAATGAGTAAAATACGGTTTGTTGAAAATATGTTGAAAAAGATATGTTAAAATACGGTTTTAAAATATATGTTGAAAAAAATATGTTAAAATGCGGTTTTAAAATATTTGTAAAATAAACAAGATCTAATTATATAAGAGTTTAATTGATATGATTTTCGGTGTAAATATTTTTACATTGTCAATGCATCATCACCACTCAATTTTATTATTTAAAAAAAAATTTAAATCAAAGTCAAATATTTTAAATAATTCAACAGTTATGATTCACTGACGGTGTAAAGTTGTGTTTTACACCGTCAATATATTTCAATTAAATCCATTATATAATTGGTTAATTTTGCAGGAAAAAAATTATAATGTTCAAGTCTTGTCTATCTTTAATTATTTTGTTGATGTATGTCTTAAAACTTTTGTTGATCAAAAGAAAAAATATATATTTTGAGATTGTCAAACGTCTGGGAGTTGAAAAGGAACAAAAACGTCTGATTTAGACGGTTTGTAAATTTCAGATTAACCGATTCGATTTGTGGATCTATTATTTAATATTAGAATATTAGACATATATTAATTTAGAAATAGTCTAAATTAATATAAAATATATATAAATATTTATAATATTTTATTCACTACAAGAAAGCTAGTGTATAGTTTGGGGCATTTGCAAGGGATAAAACCTTTAACTAAAAAATAACGTTGCTTGGGATCACTACAAAAAATGCTCAAGTTGCAAGGTGAACATTATCTCGCAAATGTAAAAACCATCATGAAACTCAACTATTACGAGATAGATCAAACACCCCACAAAAATATTAGTCGCAATTTGTTGCGAGATAAAAATCACGTTGCAGCTTTGGAAAGTGAAAAGCACGCCGCAATGTTGTTAGACATTATTCAATTAGCAACACATTTCCCAAAGATCAGCGCAACGCAGAACAATTGGTGTCAGAAGGGGATGATGATGTAACGTGACATTTATTTTCTAGGTGATTATCACCTCGCAGATGTTGTTTTTTCAGAGTGAAAAACACCTCATAAAATTTATATTTGCTTAAAAATTTACGCAACGCAAAATGTAATTAATATTATAAAAAAAATATGTTATATTTATATTATTATAAATATAAATTTTAATATTTTATAATAATATAAATATAATAAATAATATAAATTCAAAAATTAATTAAAAATATTTAAATTCGTAAATAATTATAAACATTTATATTGATAACTAATTAAATAAATTCATAATTAATTAAATTCATAATAAACTAAAAAAATGTAAATTTATCATTCATATTCCTAGATCCATGAGGTCTTTGTCACTCTTATTTTCTTCATTCTCATTCTTGTTTACCGTTCTCTGGCCACCAACTGTTCCAACTCCTCCACCACCAAAAGCTTGTTGTCGAAGTATAAATTCTTGAATTTGTTGTTGTGTAGCTCTTATTTTCTCTTGTGAAATTCTCAATGCTTCTTCCAACTCAATTTGTCTTTTTCTCATTTCTTCCGTTTCACCATTTTGTGCAGCTTCGCGTGCCGCGGCGTCACGTGCTACTTCACTTTTAGCTATTTGTCTAATTGTTTCAGCCATTTAAAAAGTTAATGTCGGAGGACGTGACGACCCTTCTCTATCTGCAATTCTTCTAAATAAAGACTTAATATCTCTTTTTCTATAGTTAGAGGCTAACAATCCAATAACATAAATTTTCTCATTTTTATTTTTTCCATCACATAATTTCATCCAAAGATCAAAATCAACAGTTGGATCCATAAGATGTTTGTTCCATGAACCACCTAACTCAGAATGTTGAGATAAAATCACTTCCTTCTATCTTCGGTATTCCTCCTACACATACGTAAAAACTTAATTAAGTAATAAAGTTGAAATGATTTATTTAAATAAAAGAATTAAATAAAATATTTAAATATTAATATCTTCTTACCTGACTCTTTCTAGCACGTTCGTTGTCATACTCTCCATCTGTAACACCCCGTACATATACGTCTAGAATAATATGCAGTGATGCTATAAATGGTATATAGAAACATACATAAACTGAAAAAGACAAGAAATTAAAATCATATACAAGTCAAATCTTCAACTAAATTGTATACAATTAGCTTGTCTACAGCAATGCACAGCGGAAAGATAAGATCTGATGAGGTCTTCCTGTCATCTGTTTGTCCATAGTCTTCAATACTGACCATCTAACAATTATTCTACCTAAAATATGTGCCTGAAAAATAATAAGAGGATTGGGGTGAGATTACTAAATCTCAGTGAGTTTGCTGTCAATGGATTTTTATGATCGAACGCCATTAGACAAAATAGCTCAATATATCTTAGGGGTTCACTCGGTTCTACAAGGTGCGTACAATCAAAGCAGATCCACCATGGATCCGGAGTTTCCTCACGGCTAGGTGAAAATACACAAGAAGGGTAATATCTCCATTGATAGTCCCTTGACACACCAATGAGATAATATCAAGCACATAGTCAACCACAAACAAGTATGCATACCCGTGCCCGTGTATGAGGAATCCAGAAGTAAGTTTTATGCCTCTTACCTAGGCCATACAATCACACCCTCGGGGAGTCGCGAGTGCCTAATCATCAAGAGACTTGCACAAGTACACTGCATGATGAATCAAATTAGTCGAAATTGGTTGACGCCTACTTGGCTACACAATCACATTTGTGATGGATGTTGTACCCCAAAATTTTCCCTCCCACTTTACTCAATATATGTTCATTGAGATACTCAACTTGCTCAAGGATGCCCAAGAGTGGACCAGATAAACCCCCTCCTAAAGCAATGAACCCCCAATTAGGGTTTCCATTTTCATCAAGATGGTTGAACTTCAAAGACCTCATATGCTCCCCATGGTTCTACTATGTTCTCAAGATCCTCCATGTCAAATTTCAAGCCTTGCACAAGAAGTTTGCTCAGTCAACTGCTCAGATG